AGTGCAAGGGTAATGTAGAGGTGACCTGAAAGCAGATTACCTGTGCAGGTGTGAGGAAAACATGTGATTGTGTGATTATATATGCAAACTGGGGAAATGTGAAAGACAGAAACAGCCAGACACACAGAGATAAAAAGGGGTGGACAGACACGGCAATAAGTCTGTAATCTAATCTCTCATCCCCATATGCAGTTAAGATGCAGGAAGCTGTTCAAAGATGAATAATGGCAAACTACAAAAGTTAGTCGAAGATGAAAACTTAAATGTGCTGAAAGTTAATCCATTTATTAATTTGTTTAGGCAAACTCTTTGGTTTGTTCGTTTACTCCTTTGGTTTCAAGGCAAACATGGACAAAACCTAATAACACTGCATCAAATGAATGTTTACTTTTTTTGTGCACTTTACTAGAAATGTAGCTAATTTATATATTCATTTTGACTACAGCATAAAGTTGTTTGGGATGGACAATTTGAGGAAGTTGTTTTTCAACAAAGATGCATAAGAGCAAAGATGCTGATCAGGCCTGTGTTAGAAACAGTCATGTACTGGGAGCACTGGAGTGTCAGGTGTGACTGTGTGGCAAATGCGAGGGGTTTACATTATCTCATGGCACAAGCATGAGGTCCCCTTCACAGAATTTTGTTTGGGGCCCCAGGGAGGTCAGGACCGCCTCTGACTAACCTGTTTTTAAAGGCCCATATCCAGCAGCATTAACTCTGAAAGCAGGTGCACACAGGTCTGTTCTGTAACAGCTGTTCTCATGCCAAGCTCTATCACTTTCCACTTCAGCGTTCAAATAGGCTTTAATGCTCCTTTCAGAACGAGCCTCTCAATAGAGCTAATGGACCAGGGGAGTGAAAGCCAGTCACAGAGAAACACAGATAATGATGCACTAGGAGCGACAGAGGTGCCTTAAGGATCAGCACGTCTTCTCTGAGCTGCCTTTAGACCCCATACACTTCTATACGTCTTCTATTTTTCTCTTTAGTGTCATTTCTGTCCTTTTATCTTCCCACTGTTCTTTCTGCCAGACAAACGTTGTCAGATTTAGACATATTGACCCCTCTTGCTTGATATTTAGTCATCTTTATCTAAAGTTGATTTTTAACTTATTTCTTAAAGTCTCTGTTTGTTGTGGGGAAAAAAATATGGCAACATGCTTAAAGTTATTTTGCTTATCATCATAAGAAACCATCCATATGCTGCAGAATGCACAGACTTGTGCACAATCTCAGCAGATATCCAGTAAGTATTAACTACCAAGACATCAAAGACTAAGCAGAGGATGTTCCTGAAAGAAATTGTGCTATTTTGCTTGCCTGTAAAGTTTTTCTTTCTTAATGATTTCAGAAAAAAACACATCTCCACACTGAGGTCCACACAAACAGTGCAGCCCAGAGAATAGCTTGACTCCAAAGTAAACACAGTCCTGTGTTTCCAAATAGACCACTCTCCATCTATACATTTGTTCTGCTGACTCTACAAAGATTACGTCTTGCTTACTGATATCAGTTTTTGAGAAGAAATAATCTCTTGCCTGGCAGCCAAGGTGACATGCATAGACAGGGTATAAAATGGTGAAGTAATTACCACTGACCTCACAGACTCCTTAGTTAATTGGTGTGCAGACCCCAGAAGAATTACAGTTAGAGGGGAATGGACAGCACATACTGTGCAGTACTCATTGACATAAGGTTATGAAAAGAAATGAAGGAGGAAGGAGTAAAAGAAAAGAAACACATAAAAATAGACAGGAGCGGAAAACACAGTAAGGTCAAAATGAGCAAGTGGAACAAACTGAGATGTACAGGATGGTGAAACAGTGTGACAGAGACAGATCAGTTAAAGGGGCTTGTCCATCATGTACCTTTCTCTGCTCAGCTCAGTGGAAAAAACAAACTGATGCAGAGAGGTAAATAGTTCTGGTGAGGAAAGTGAAAAGGATACCAGTCCATTTAGGACAGGATAGATGCAGGTGCAGTGCTGCACTCAGGTTTATTTGGCTTTGGTAGATGTTTTAAGACTCCTACAGTATCCTAGTGGTTTGTTTTCTCAACAAAGATTCAACATTTTACCTAGGCTTCAAGAAAAATCTCTTCAAGACAGTGTTGCAGTCGAGTCACTAAACCTCGAGTCCGAGTCAAGCCTAGAGTACCCAGTGTTAGAGTCTGAGTCATGACTGAATCACAGTCCTTGTTACCCAAATGCAAGTCATCAGTGCTCAAGTCCAAGTTAAGTCACAAGTCCTAAAAATCAGCACTTGAGTTGGACTTGTG